CACGAACATTATCACAGGCTACTTTACTGAGGACTTTATCAACAAGGCCGGGCTCACAGTATCCGTTCTTGTGGTGGCGGTAGTCGGCAAGATTAGACATGACTTCTTGGCTCTGTTCTCCTTCCCTTTCGTCGTATTCTAACTCATCTAGTCTAAAGAACGGGTTTATCGACTTCAGGTTGTCTAGAGCATCATAACTTTCTCCAAGTTCATCTGACGTGCTCTTTGAGACAGCTCTGAATCTACCATGGACTCCGCCATGGCCAGTAGTATGGACACGATGAGAAGGAGAAGAAACTTCTAAGAAATCGGATTGGGACTGTGCCCTCTCTCTCGGTAAATGAGGAGGGAGCTCTCGCTGTACTATGTGCGTCCCACTCCTCAGTCTTGTCTCTGGACTCGATAAATCAGCTATCGGATGATCTCGATCAGATGAAGAGTCTCTTACTTGTTCTAATCTCGACTCACCGTTGATCTTCTTTATGAATTTAGGAGGAGGTGGTGGGACGCCGATAGGTACCAAAGACTTGTATTTCTTGCCTGACGGACTTATTGATCTTGTGACTGTGTTGGGAGGGCTAACACTGCCATTGTTACCACGCCCACGGGACTCTCTTCTAGTAGGAGGTAAGGGAGGGGGTTCTGTTCTGTCTGATGGCTCAGAGACTGTCTCTAGTTTATTGTAAGTTGATGGAGTCATTGATCGAGCTGCTGTCTTTACTGGCGACACTGATCGATGGGTTTGTAAGCTTCTCTTTGTCTCCTTTGCTTGACAGCTTGACAAGCTACTAGACACTTGACCTAGCTCTGATCCACTGCTCTCATCAGTTTCTGATCTTGTTGGAGTGGAGCTGTAACGACTGGAGGATGCAGCTGTACTGTATTTATTGTCGCTGTTGCTTCTTGATCTGTGAGCTGGCGAAGTGTACTTGATTGGTTTTCTAGCAGGAGAAGTCGGTTTCCCGCTTGGTTTTAAAGTGATTGGAGAGGAAGGAAAACCTGAAAAATCAGGCGAGTCCTCTTGCTGCGGTGTACCTAGTCCTGAGTCGTGGTTCTCAAGTAAATTGTGATAATATGAAGTGTTGTGATCAATATCTGGTGGTGGAAGAGAGACCTCAAGATCATGGCGTCTCCTTGAAGCAAAAGGAGATGAGTGTGTGCTCAGTTGTGTAAGGTTACTTTCCGAGAATGCAGGGAGTAGCCTGGGGCTGCTGTTACATTGGTGACTGCAGTGATATATGTCACCTAAAATGCTCCTCTCGTAATGTATCTCGTTTGTATTCGGATTATCTCTTATTGTTTTCTCCATCAAACTGAGTATGGTGGCTGGTTTCTCTTGCTTAATGTTGAGGGAGCATCTCGAGGTGTTTGGGTCGGAGCAGCGCCTGCAGCACTCAAAAGTGAGCATCCCTCCACACTGACCAAACGAAGCAATGTGCTCTAAACGCCATCTCTTGAGCGATATCTCTCTCAAGGGGCAGAGTAGTGCAATGTAGTTTGCAGCAAATTGGACATTAACCATTCCTTCTTCTAGATCATTTGGTTCTACAATGCTAGCTGAAAATAGTGTAGCAGCTACAAAAAAAGATAAAAAGAAGCAATAAATACTGTTGCTCATGATAGTAGTAATAGCAATAGTGTAATACCTGGATCAACGATTTGTCGTAGAAGTGCTGCCCAATCCTTGAGCTCTCTCTGAGAATCTGTTGTAAAGTGGTAAGAGTTTTTACCAACTTTGAGTATCATGTAATATGAAGATCTGTCATCTGCAGGCTTTACCACTATAAGTGGCTGTGCCTCCTTGTCGAGGCATATGCTTCCCTTATAGCGAGTCTTGGACTCATCAAGGAATATGTCCATGCTTGCTTCGACTGAGGAATAGGTCCGGAGAACGCACCATCTCTTCTTTTTTCCACCCTGCAGCAAAAAGAGAAGCGCGTTATGTAAACAGGACAATAATGACAATAACAGCTATTTTTTATACAAGACTGCTGCTACTTACAAATCTAAAGAAGCTAGGCTTGTGAAGAAATCCCTCCTTGAGTATAGCGGGTCTCTGTGTCATCCCGTTCAACAGTGGCTGGACCCTGGTAGATTTCACAGCATACTTCTTCCTTAGGGATCGGCGGAGGCCGTTTGGGACATACTCGCTGCCAATGGCTCCTCCAGAAGACATGATTGCTAATGGACACGGGCAATTGCTGTTACTCTAGCAGCTACCTTGAAATGGAGACGCTGTAAAAATGTAGCTCAAATTTCTAATATGCAGCAACAGTACCCCTATGTTGAGCAAAATGTTTTTCTAGGAAGTTTTTATACGGCGCCGAAATTTACGTGTTGACCCCGCCCACCAAATCTGGTTACCAAGACAACGGACATTGAAATAACAAGAACATGAGTGGCCAATTTGATTTAGACTATGTTTCTCTCCCAATCTCAAATGAAGCAAATAAGCAACTTGAGGAAGGTGTCCAGCAGAAGAAGACAGAGATCAATGCCCTCCAACAGCAAATAGGAGAGCACAATGACCGTATTCACATTCTTTCAGAGCATTTGAAAAATGTGCAGCAAGAGCTCAATCTAACTCAAGTATGTGGCTGTGGCTGATTATTTTATTTTTGAATTGAATCACTGGTTGCCATAGGCTCTCTATGAGGCTAGGAGGAAAGACGTAGAGACTGAAAAACATTTAATACAAGTTGGTAAGTGGAAATCATATTTCATGCATAAAGAAACAGATGCTACATTTACTTATTGTTTTACTAGCTGACAGAGAAGAAGGGAGGCTTAAAGATGGCTATCGTGAGCTCCAGTCCAAACAAGAGAAGCTCTCTGAGCTCATGAATACTTACGAGAATAACCTCTTCAAGACAAACTCTGAACTTGAGAAGATAAGAAAACAAATGAATTGGGAGAAACAGGTACAGTATACATACCCACCTATCCTCTTGAATTATAGAGAACTGACTTACCCAGAAACAATAATGTTACATAGATAATAATTAAATGTGTACATTGTATGCGTAAACAGTCTTGGTGATCACACCAACTGAGCATCCACCGTACACACGCATTATTGGGTTGGATGAGTATCTCACATGATCCAACAAATACCTCCAATATTTGTCACATGTTTCAATCCGACCACCACACCTCATGGACGCTGATAAATCACTCCGGTGCACTGACCCTCATCCACTCATCAAATTAGTATAATTATTTTCACGTGAATCATCAAAACATTGTGATTATTCTTCACGCTAAAGTGACTCGTGTATTATTATACATATTACCATAATACCGTATAGCGGGTTTTTTCGAGGATGATAAATTTCGCGAATGACCTGTATCCGGAAGTTTGTCGAATTTATTTTCGTGAATTTCCACTAATCTGCGATCTTGTACCGTATTAAATTGATTTCAAGGAATTTAATTTCGCGAATCATGAAAAAATCGGCAAAATTCGTGAAATTTGTTATCCTCAAAAATTTCCCACTATTATGGTACATGTGCAAGGAAGACCACACTTTAATGTAGTCAGCATGTAGTTTAAATCTAACAGTTATTGTTGCTTTTAAAAGATGTACATGTGCATTTGTATTTCATGTAGACTCTTGAGGCGTGGCTAGAGGAGTCGGCAAGGAGAGACGAAGATGCTTCCACGATAGCTAAATATGCTCGCTCAGATGAGGCTAAAATAAAGGTATCTACATTACTCTTCAATAATCCAGCCATTACTCGTGAGCTAATAGGAATTGCTATTGAAATCTGAGGAGCTTAACATCTCGTATGTCAAAGCAAAGCATAGCCTCAACGTGGAGTCAATGGATACTGTAGCTGCTCAGGTAATTATTGATAATCCTGATTCATCTTCCTTGCTATAATCATGTTTAATTCAACACAGATCGAATTAGACAATACAGCCCAAGCTTTCCGCCAAGCGCACGATGAGAGACAGTCCCTGATCCTTCAATGGGAGCAAATTATTGAACAAATGAAGAGAAGAGACCAAGACATGGACCGGACTGCAACCGTAAGTCACCTGACCTGTCACGTGACACATTAATAATGATTGCTGTGTAGGAGCTGGCGAGACTAAAGGCAGAAATTAAAGTACTTGAGGGATCTGTCAATGAGAAGAAGGTTAGTGATGAAATCTGACAAAATTTGAATATTATTATTTTAGTAGTAGTACTACTCTGTACTGCGTGGGTTTAATTTAGGGAGTGGCACATATTAAATGATTATTGATTTAATTGGGTGTTTGGTGGGGAGTTATTGAATGTGTTATTGTCTAGCATTTAAAGCTAATCAGAAACCTATTCATGTCAAGTGCCCTGGAGCAACCCACATAATGCATGTACATGTAGCACTATAATACATAATTTGCAGACATTTTATTACATCGTCTGATTCATAGCTGCTCAAAAATTGGATTAAAGTCCCTGTACTATAGTACAGGGACTTTGGCCAAATTTCACCAAAAATTAAAAGGAGAGAATTCTTTATTTTTATGATTTTATCTAATACATATACATGTTTATATGTTGTGTTTCAAGTTTGAACTGATTTTGATTACATTTGGTTTTTTTACAAATTTTTTAAGTTGCTCCAAAATTGAGCCAAAGTCCCTGTACTATAGTACAGGGATTTTGGCAAAATTTCACCAAAAATGAAAAGTATAGAATTCTTCATTTTTATATTTTTTCCTGATACATATACATATTTTTATGTTGTGTTTCAAGTTTGAGCTGATTTCGATCACATTTGAATTTGTTACAAATTTTTAAAGTTCCTCAACAAAGCAATGTATGATATGTACTACTATTATTTTCATTATTATTTTATGTAGCAATTTCTTGAAGAAGAAAAGAATAATAACAAAGAAATGGAAAAGAAGGTCCACGGTGCTGAAGTACTCTCAGCTAAAACTCACAATGAATACCAAGAGAAAGAGAAGAACAAGCAGCAACTGAAAGATGAAGTAACTACAGAATCTGAAAAAGAGAGAGAGAGAGAGAGAGAGAGAGATAGGGGAAAGAAGAAAACAGTCAATTAAGGAATAAAGATACATGTACATGTCTGTTTGTACATGTACATGTACATGTACATGACAGTACATGTACATGTACATATATTAAATACTATATTTATAACTTTTCCATCAATTTTCATGTTATTGTTATTATTCTCCTAGTTGGAAACGTTAAAGTATTCCGTGGATCGAGCGGCAGCCGATCTTGAGAGCATGAGAGGGCAAAGCCATCGCATGACCAAAGAAATACAGGACAAGACCAATCGGTAAACTATAGTACTTGTCATAATAATAATAATATTGTTTAAAAGAGAGTGTGTATCCTCATTTTGATAAAAATTATTAAACTTTGTACTGTTTGGATTAGTATAATATAAGAATACTGTCTCTATTAAAAATAACAAAGACAAAACACTCCATGCAAACTATAGGATGTGCCACACTAGAATTGATCCCTATATGCAGTATATGTACATGTTAAGCTGAAATTATTGACTCATTGACTACAGTACATTGCTTTCTTTTCTTTTTTCTCCTTCAACAATAACTTAATTATAAGTAAATATAATGCAAGGATAATAAAATAATAATTTAAAGATATAATAAAACACTACAGGGCATTATACATAATTCATGCACTGTCTACATGTACATGTACCAAATGTATATAATGATATGAATCTACATGCTAGGTGTATAATGCTTGCAAAGTATTGTGTGAGCGTAAACATTGGCTCATAGTAAACTAACAAGATTAATTCGTTATAATGTATGCATCAGTATAGTGTCAATTTCCCGTATTACATATTTGTCACCTTAAATTAACTTAAATTAACTTAAATTAAACCACATACTACAGACTGCAGCAGTAGAGTAGTAGCAAAAGATAATTATAATAACCATTAGCATCTTTATTTCTCAACCTACATGTACAATTTATACATGTACATGTATACCTCTATTTCTATAATACTACTACCAATAATGACAATTGCAATAGGCTGGACACTCTGCACCATCAGCTCCTGATAATGCAGGAAGAGCATAAAAGAGCAATACAGAAGACACTGAGTGCTGAGGACAGAGCTCAAAAGATGGACCAGTTACTGGCACAAGAGGAGGCCACTGTACAACAGCTAGAGAAAGAGTTAGCCGGGAAAAGGGAGAAGAAGTTTAAGCAGTCACAGCAACTTCAGGAAGTGAAGAGACGAAAGCAAAACATTGAAGCAGAGATACAAGTAAGGAAATAAAGGAAATACAGCGATACTAATACTAACCATAATAATCTCTTGCTGATTTTCTATAATAATAATAATAATAATAATGTTAATTTTTAGAGTGCAAAGGTTGCGTTGCGTAACTTATCATCAAACCAACGGAAAGTTGACGATGAAGCACTCAAGCAACAAGAACTCCTTTATATACAGGACTTCCAGCTCCAGCAGTTGGACCATAAGCTAAACAGATTGGAGGGAGAGAGGACTGAAGAAGAGAAGGCTCACCTTACTAAGAAAATGAAGGTAAAATATTGTACACATGTACGTGCATAAAAGGCCATTAAATTATATGTATTTGGGTTTACAGTAGTATTATCAAACATGTACATGTACCTGTACATTCATGTTTATTGTTCTATAGCAATTTAATGCATTCCCACAAATTTGATCTAAATGATTTGGAGCCCACAAATATTTAAAATTAATTAATCAACACAGTTCTTGCATGTACACACACTCCATGCTTGAGAGCTAGTGTACATGTACATGTAAGGCAATCCTGTGATCCTTCATTGTGTGGCATATAATAATATGACACGATGTGATATGACACTATGATATATGACAGGAATTAGAAGCTGATTGGGAGAGTCAGAGTCAGTCAGAGACACTGCTGAGCAGTCAACTGAAGAGACTTCAGGATGACCTGAGGAGAGCCTCACGTCAAATTGAAGTTAAGCAGAAAGAAAAGAACACACTACTGGGAAAAATAGGTAGTAATACTGTATATACTTGTGTATTATGTACACATGTACATGTATCACATGTCATGTTCTGTTGTTTTAGATGAGCTTAATCTTCACATTGACAGCACGCAGAGGGAACTGCGAAAGATGATAGCAGCTAAACAGGTAGAGAGAAAGAGAGAGAGGGAAGAGAATGCAATGATGTTTACCATAAAAGCTCATGTGAATGTGATCCGTTACTGTTTTATAGGATCTCATGGTAGACGAAAACATCATTAAACTCGAAGTGAAAAGGTTTCATATAATCACACACAAACATCAGACACTCTCTGTATCACAGTACATTGCCCTAATCAGTATTGGGCCAACAATACCTTGGCCATAAACTATGTCCTTTGTATTGAATGTCAAATATTTCATGAGTGTTTCCTTTTGCATTGTGTAGTGATTGTACCTGCTAATTGTAACTATGACAGTTAGTTTGTTGGGCAACATATCACAGTCTTCATTCTCTCTCTCTCTCTCTCTTTCTATCTCTGTAATTGTATCTATTCTCTTTTCTATATGTACATGTACATATACATTATACTCTATTCTCTCAATGTTTCCTTCAGATTAAGAGATGCTTTATTCAGTTGCTCTGATGATGTCGTTGGACTAGAGAAAGACAAGCAGCAGTTGATGACAGTCAGTTAAATTGATACAATTACAATTGATCTATTGCTAATGTACATGTACATACACTTGTAGGTAATGTTGGAGAGAAAGAAAGAGATAGCAGTTCACAAGGAAATGCTTAAAGTTCAGATCAAAACAAACGAAGGAGAAAGGCTCACATTTAGGTACATACATGTACATGTAATATAAATATTATACACATGTAGCAATGAAGTTCTACTTTATATTCTTCATTTCTTTCTGTACATTAATTTCCTTGTAGTACTGAGCTTCATGATCGCATTGCCAAGATCGATCGATTAAGAAAAAGATATGAAATACTTACAATATCAATGAACCCACCCGAAGGAGAGGAAGAACATTCACAAACGTACTACGTCATCAAAGTACCACAACTCTCCTCCAGTCATTGTACATCTACTTTAACTGTCTCTCTACTCTCTCTTATCTTAGGCAGCTCAAGAGCGCGAGGAGCTACAAAGAGAAGGTGACGACCTTGACGCTAAGATCAGGAAGGCAGAAAAAGAGATACAAGCTTTGGAGAACACTCTAGCTCTCATTAATTCAAAAAACAATAAATTTAGGAAAAGTCTTCAGACTTACGATCCATCAGGTGACCCATTCATACGCTGCATAATGAATTCAATTGTATAATAATTATTGTAAAGTGCATTTTTCCCAAGTGCTCATACAAGTATAGATTTAATTCACTATACACTGTACATATATAATGGTATACTTGTGTATAGTGGACAGTAATGAATGATAATTGGTTTTTAGGGGAGGATTCCCTCGAATTAGAGACATTAGAGGGACAATTCAAAGCATCTGCTGACAAGTATAGGCACAAAAGGAAACAATTACGTCAACTTGAAAGTGACATCCAAGTACATACAAACACTGTCATTACCTGTAGCTATAAACTCTCTATCTCTCTCTCTTTTTTGATGCAGTCATTGAATAATGCTCTGTCCCTGATCACTGCTGAACATGATAACTGTAACAACTCACTCCAAGACACTAAAGTACAGTAACAGCTACACACACACACACACACACACACACACGCTTTGTACACATGTACTAGCTGTATATAGATGTATGTAATAGATATTACTTTACTGGTTTTATGTACATGTGCTTGTAGGATATGCTGGCTCAATATACTAAAGAATATGAAGATACTAAAGTTAAATTAGACAGAGCAAACAAGCAAGTGAGTTGTTATATCATGAACATGAGTACGGACTCTTCCCTTCTTATTCTATAGTGTACAGTGTACACTTCTACTTGTATTAAGAATATGATATGTACATGTACATGTACTTATTTTGGTGCTCTTGAAATACTATAACTTCTACTATTATTATTATTATTATTATTATTTTTCTGTATAGTCTATAAAACTGGCAAAGGAAATAAGACTAAAGAAGAACACGACTGATAAAACTGATGTTGAGGTACTAGTTTACTGTACTAGCAGTACCATTATATCCTATTAGCATAATGTGTGCACACAGCCCATTGAAGTCTAGACTAATCAATAATAATAAGGTGTTTTTGAATAGTGCTAGAGGAGTAGTGTCTGTAAACACACATGTCTAACATAGACTCATTAATAGCTCAAATGTATTTGGCACATGAACATTAAAGCAACTTTGGATGTCAATTTTTACAGTCTTCCTCACGCAGCCTATGCGTGCTAATAACATTCATACCTTATGTATCAGAGAGTGTAATAAAAATTGGGTGTGATTTTTGAGTCATTTTTTATAAAAAAAGCATGGACTATAGTACAGGGAAATTTTTAGATTTTGGTTCATTTTTAAAATGGCCGTAACTTTAAAAATTTAAGTCAGAATCAGCTCAAACTGTCTACATTGCATAAAGACATCAATATGTATCAGAGTAATAAAAATTGGGAGTGATTTCGGACCATAACTCAAAAACATTTAGTCTGAATCAGCTCAAAATGCACATACATGTACAGACTTACCTGTAGCTTATGATTACATGTATTTCTCATAATGTACATGTACATGTACATGTATATTTATGTAGGAGGATATAGAGTTGAGAGAATTGCGTGACTTCAACACATCAGTGTTCCACCAGTTGGGCACTATAGCAGCTAGTGACTCTAACCTTGCTGACACTATACACCTACTCCTATCACAAGTAAAACAACATACATACATGCACATACAGTACACCTACAGTACATGCATACACCTAACTGATGTACATATACATGTATTTACATGTACATGTACATTTGATTAGGTTGGTCTTCCTCCTCCTCCTCCTCCTACTGGTATTAAAGCAAGTTCTCTACCTTCATCTGCTCGTAGTTCAACCAGCCAGCTGAGCACATCAAGGTATGTAATTATTATGATATAAACATTATTTTATTCTTTTTTAAAGTTTTATCGTTAATAATTCATTTATGTCAATTTTTAAAATTTGAAAAACAACTAAATTTTGCACCTTGCAAAATAAATATTTTCTTTTTATTTTTTTTCTACTACTACTAGCACAAGTTCCCGTCAATCCACCCCCAGACAATCACTGCAGTACAAACCAATTGATATCATTTTGACTGGTCAATCCACTCCACCTCGTGATGGAAGGACCACACCACAGGAGAGCTCTTCCCCCAGAAGCAGCATTAGCTCGTCAGGCAGCAAAGGAAGCAGTAGAAGACACTCAAAACCACCATCACCACTTGCTTCACCTCACAGCAGCACAGGGAGTGCCTCTAGACCTGCCAGTAGCTTAGATTTAACTATCAGACCCACATGAACTGCTTGAAGACTTATACATGTACATACTCACTGAGTTCTTTACTTATTGATTAATCAAAATGAACAAAAGATGAGATTGGAGTTGACGGTGTAATATCACATTTAATCAATATAGTATTTTTTGAAATACCATTCAATAGCAACACAGAATGAAATTAAAAAATAAGTAATTCTTTTAAGTTATGTACATTATTAATATTCTGTTAGTGTTAAACAGTGTAGCTCCCTGTACCATTGAACCAGCTGTTCCTCAAACACTAAACTCTTGTCGATGAGGTGCCAGCACTTTGAGCGAAGGTGAGTCCAAGACGACTCAAAGTTCATCTCGAGAGTCTTCATGAGGTACGCTAGTATCACTGAAGCAGAGCGAGAGCGTCCATGAACAAAAACAAGGACACGCCCATTTTCTGAAACAGCCTTGTCAATGAAAGAGCACGAAGCTTCCCAGCATGGTAACATGTTTTCGTCATTTTTGTCTTTCACTGGACACTTTAATACATGAACCTAAAATAAAAGAAGAAATATTAAAATAAAATAATTTTGACAATTATTAATTCCAGGTGTACATTTTTCAATTCCTCCATATCGATATCTTGATGCTCCGATATGATCACATGACTCATTCCCATCTTTGAAAGGGCGTGGCTTGACATTGGTACAACCCTTGATCCCATGAAGACGTTCTTCGTGATTTGATGAGGCAGGGGGAACATCTCCTCAAACCTGACACGCCCACAAAGGAAAGGATACTCCGATGCAAACGAGTCATACGTACAATCAAGGAGCCATATCTCCTTCACTTTATCTATTACCGTTAGACAAAATTCCTCAAATGGATCAAACGTCTCTTCACTTTCCTTTGCCTCTTTCTCTCTGACTGATGAAACTTCATGTGAGTACACGGAGACTCGGGATCTTTGGTTTTTCAAGAGGGTTAACTTATCGGCAAGCCAGTGGGTGTGTCTTAGCTCACTCTCTGCTCTGTCCCCATACAGGACTAGAGGGTTGGGGTTCTCTGGTCTATAAAATTGAGATGAATAGTCTCTAGCAAAGGCCACTAATGAGGCTTCTCTCTCCTCTTCACTCCTGGAAGATGCTGCTGTATCGTGAGGGTACGAGACAGCAGTTGCAATGTGTCCTCTTTCATAGTCTTCAAGAGGCCGAGTATCAATAACGAGATAGTGCTCGTACAGAGGAAGGTTGAAGATATCTATTGGGGAGGCTGGCTTCAGCAATGAACTGCTGCTTGCAGCCATTTTTAGGTGGGGCTCTTGTTACTCCCCGCCCTGATTTTTGCAGTCTTTTTTTGCTACCTGTGCGCGTGCATGAGTAGCAGTTTACAGCAGTCAGCAGCAGTTGTATTTAAGATGCAAAGAGATTACTTTTATAATAATACTTATCAATTATTCTTTATTTTACAATAATAATAATTAAAAATGATGTCAAGATGGAAGATAAAGTCCATGCTGTTATTATTATCATTATTTTCGAACTTTCTGCTTAGATATACGCCAGGCATTGGCTTCTTCATATCTAAGGAGAGAGAGAGAGAGAGTAAGGTAGCTTATCGATAAAATAAAAACATCAGATGAAAGCTAACCTGTTGTACAATGGCTCCACTTTCTCTTGTTTCTTCCTCTTGCTCAGTTTCGTTGGGTCAGAGAACTTGAAATAAGCAGGAGCAAACTCTACCAGCCATTTTGGATCAATGGCAGTTGTTTCTCTCATGTACTCTTTAGTGGTCAGAATCAGCTCATGATATATCACCCTAAGAATAGGGAACATAGAGATACTGTATATTCACTTCAAATGGCTGTAACTCAAAAAAAATAAAGTCGGAATCAGCTCAAACTTTCTACACAGCATAAGTACATCAATATGTATCAGAAAATGTAATAAAAATTGGGGGTGATTCTGGAGCCATTTTTTGGAAAAAACCATGGGCTATAGTACTGGGAACTTTTCAGAAATTGGCTCATTTTTTAAAATGGCCGTAACTCAAAAAGTTTTAGTCGGAATCACCTCAAACTTTCTACACAGCATAAGGACATCAATATGTATCAGAAAATGTAATAAAAATTGGGGATGATTTCGGGGCCATTTTTTGGAAAAAAGCATGGGCTATAGTACAGAGAATTTTTCGGAAATTGGCTCATTTTTTAAAATGGCCGTAACTCAAAAAGTTTTAGTCGGAATCACCTCAAACTTTCTACACAGCATAAGGACATCAATATGTATCAGAAAATGTAATAAAAATTGGGGATGATTCCGGGGCCATTTTTTGGAAAAAAGCATGGGCTATAGTACAGGGAATTTTTCGGAAATTGGGCTTATTTTTAAAAATGGCCATAACTCGAAAAAATTAAGTCGGAATCACCTCAAACTTTCTACACAGCATAAGTACATCAATATGTATCAGAAAATGGAATAAAAATTGGAGGTGATTTCGGGGCCATTTTTCGGGAAAAATCATGGGCTATAGTACAGGGAATTTTTCGGAAATTGGCTTATTTTTAAAAATGGCTATAACTTGAAAAGTTTTAGTCGGAATCACCTCAAACTTTCTACACAGCATAAGTACATCAATATGTACTAGAACGTCTCTACATCTTATTAATGTCCCTACCAGTCTGGCTGTCTGTTAAATAAAGCACTTGATGGATGAATGTACACTGTCTGGTTGTCAGTAATAGTCTTGTAGCCTTCTTGTGGATCCTGAAAAAATTGCAATAATAAAATATAAAATAAAATAAAAGCACTATCATTATAAATGTACTACCTTTCTTGCAGCGTTTCTAAAAAAACCCGAAGCAATTGCTTTCTGAACACGTGAGACATTCTTTCCACAAGACACTACGTCTAACTTGTGCCTACAAAATAAAAACTGAAATTTGGGCGCACATGTTCATGTTTTTCTCCACCTGTCCATCATTCCTAGCATTTGCTTCCGGACATCCTGAGCTCTCCGAAGAGTCCTCGCTTGTATGAAGTTCTCGAAGCACCAGGCGTTAGAAAACTTGTTGTTCTTCCAAGCATTGTAGACAGAGAGTAGTGTCAAGTGATCTCCTTCAGGCTGATTGAACTTTGCTTTCCTTTGGTCGGCTATTGCTTGCTTATCCTAAAGTGTATTTGTAAAAAAATATTTATTGCAATAAAAATATCATGAAAACATCATAAAAATGTATCAAAAATATCATAAAATTAATAATGTTGTTAATATGCTATGCTATACCTTAGGCCTATAGAAGACATTCTGTACTGAGAGCATGGAGACTATGGTAAGGATCTCCTCAGAGCAGCCAAGATGAACAGATTGGATCAGCATCTTTGACAACTGAGGCTCCAGTGGGAACTCTGCCATCTACACCATGAAGGACAGATAGTTCATGAGCTGTACATGTACATATACTGCATCAAATTTATGGTAGACATGCAGTACTTACCCTTCTTCCCAATCTGGTGAGGAGTCCTTCATCATCAAGAGCACTGAGTGAGTGTAACTGCTCCATAGCAGCAATCATTGTCTGAGTAGAAAATAAACCATAATATACATGCATGTGTTATTATTATTATTATTATTATTATTATTATTATTATTATTGTTATTATTATTATTATTACATGTATTATTTCTTGTTACCTCCATTGGGGGTGGGTCCATGAAATCAAATGACAGTAGATCATTGATACCCATTGCCTTTAAACTGATGACAGTGCCAGCAAGATTAGTCCGCTGTATCTCTGGGACTGCAGTGGGTAACATCTCATCGCGATAGGCTCTCTCTGTATAAAGCCTGTTGTGTACAGGGAAATAATTATATGTAAATAAATAATAATATATTTTAATATAAATAATAAAAATTTTGCAAAAAAATTTTAAACTAAGTGCCGGTGAATTTGCAAAAAATGATTATTATTGGTAACTATTGACAAAAATTTTTGGCCACAACAATTACTAGATATAATAAATAAATAAATAAAACAAATAAATAACAAATAAATAAATACATTTTTACATGCACGCGTTTACCTGTAACATTTCCCTGGGCCAGTTCGTCCAGCCCTCCCTGCCCTCTGCTTGGCCTGAGCCTGCGATATCGGAGTAACCACCAAAGCATCCAATCCACTCTTCCCATTGTAGACCTTCTGCTTAACAAACCCTGGATCAACAACATAATAGATACCATCTATTGTCAGGGATGTCTCCGCTATATTTGTAGCTATTACTACCTAGGGAAGTGTTAGAGGTGTGGTCAAAGGTGTGGCTTACTTTACGACTCCCGGGTGGGGCCGGTTCGAATATTCGAGTTTGCATTTCGCTTGGGAGGGCGCTATAAACTGGGAGGATTATAAGCTCTGGAACCTGGCAATAAAATGATAATAATTATAAAAAATTAAATAAAGAAATTTTCAAATAAAAATGTAACAAGTCATGTACATGTACATGCACACGGACTCTTACCTCAGGTCCGAGAGATTTCATTCTCTCGTACAATATCTCGCAGGCCGTGTCGATCTCTTCCTGTCCCGTGAGGAAGAGGAGTATGTCACCAGGTGGCTCCGTGAGGTGAATCTGCATCACTGCTATGAGAGATGCATCAAGATAGTCACTCTCGGGCTCCTTTGTGTATAACACATCTACCGGATAGGTACGACCAGGTATTGTGAATATAGGCTGAGAGAGAGAGGGGAGGGAGAGAGGAAATATTATGCACATGTACATGTAGGTAGGTACATGTATATAGGTATGCATGTATATGTACAGTATCAGAAAATATTATAAAAATGGAGAATTTCTTCAGAGCCATTTTTGACAAATATCCTGTGATCATTAACCAGAGTTTGGAGGAACTTCAACTTACAGCTTCAAAGAAATAAGAAGAGAACTTGACAGCGTCTAATGTAGCAGACGTGACAATTAACTTCAAATCAAGTCTCTTCTTAACAGCCTACATGTGTAAATGACACAAAATAAAATAATAAAATAACAATATTATTATTATCATCATCATCATCATCATTACTTTCTTAAGGAGTCCAAACAGGACGTCGGTGTGTATGGTTCTTTCATGAGCTTCGTCCAACATGATAATGGAATACTGTTTGAGGTCAGAGTCAATGAGACACTCCCTCAGTAACATCCCATCAGTCATGTACTTGATAATGGTCTCCTGACTGGTGCAGTCCTCAAAACGAATAGTGTAACCAACCTAATTAATGAGAGGGCGGGGTCAAAGGAAAAAGGGAGGGGCCAGGAAAGAAGAGGAGAGTACATAAAGAGAAATAAAAATTATAATATTACTTCTTGTCCAAGACGACAACCGAATTCCTCCGAGACTCTCTTAGAAACTGACATGGCCGCCACACGACGTGGCTGTGTACAACCAATCTTTCCGCTGACACAGAAACCAACCTCAGCCAAGTACTGGGTGATCTGTGTCGTCTTTCCTGAGCCTGTCTCACCAATAACAATCAGTATCTGATTCTTCCTAACAGCCTGTGATTATAATTTTTACTTCAAGTCAATGGTTTGAAGGTTTAGTCTCACTTCAACTAGTTCATCCTTTAGTTTGTAAATCGGTAGGGACTGTCTCTGCTCCAGTAGAGAGAGCTGGGTCTTCTTACCGTAGGATGCCTTCACTCCACCAAACGATACTCTCTTCCACTCGGGAAGCTCTGGAGGAGCTACCATCTGTTTGAAATCGTTTGCCAAATAACGCTCTAAAATAAAAAAAATAGATTCAAGGATGTGCGTATTATAGCATGCAATAGCTTAAGCCACACCTCCAGTCCCTCCCCCTGGTACTGGATCAATCCAAGTCTTTCCGATGTCTCGTGGAACATTATCCATTTCAGCTTCTCTCTGGGCCTGTCTCACCTCTCGTCTCTCCTTAGAGAGGGCGCTCTGGGTCTGAGCAGCTCGCTGTAAACTCCCGTCAGGGTTCTGAAAAAAAAACAAGTATGTATATATGTACAAAATGAGAAGTTTACCATAAAATTATTATTATTTTTATTATGTGATGAAACCATGCAGGTTCTATGCTTTAAGATTATCCCTTACTTTGACGATCTTTACTGGCGAATGACTGACGGAATATTTCGTTTGACCCCTGAGGAACCAAGGTTCTTCGTCAACTAGTTCAATTTCAATATCTTCATCAGAACCCTCGTCATCGTCAGGCAATATACCAGTCTCCTCGTCAAATCCAGGGTAATCGGATTTCTCTAACACACCAGCCGCTATTAGCTACAAATTATAAGATGCAACGTTTAAAATTTTATAATTGCTTAATTCGAACTTGTTTTATTTCCCATTTCTCTGGAGAGGTCATTCTAGTCGTTCCTCTCTTCCCTTTTCCCTCCTCCTCCATTACAGAGCCTGGCCTCATGTTGCTTGGTCGATCAGGATTCCTGGCAGAAGCCCCACCCTCATCCTCGCTCGTCAACAAGAGCCGATTAACAGAATAATTAAGATCCCTCCCAGTCTCCTGATCAACGTCCTAAAATATACTAATAATAACCAGGACTATCCAAGAATATCCTAGAATATACTAGAATATCCTAGAATATACTAAAATATCCTAGAATATACAGTTACCTTTATTGAGAGGCTCATCTTGTTCCCGGTGATTGAAAGGACTTTGACTTTAACTTTCTGACCTCGTTTGACGACGTCACTCACTTCTCTGACACGCCCCTCCTGCCGTAACTATAGCAACAACAAAAACGACAATCGCTAGATGTACATGTACACATGTATTTCTTACCTGTGATACATGAACCAGTCCTTCATGTCTACCTCTTACTCCCTCCAACTGGACAAAGCATCCAAACTGCATTATACTACTAACCTTCCCATCGTATATCTGACAGAAAAATACAAATAAACAAATAAATAAACAAACAAACAAACAAACAAATAAATAAATACCTACCTGAGATACTTCAGGTTGAGACGGTTTCTCGATTCTCGTTCTCTTGTCCCAGCGATCAGAGCGAGGGGAACGTGACCTTGAACGTCTTCTATCCCTGTCCCTCTCCCTCTGGCGGTGGTGACGTCTATCAGGACTTGTTGATTTTGAGCGGGACCTCCTCCTCCTGTCGTGATGTCTCCTACTTGATGATGATGATGACTTTTTCTCTCCTTCTCTATCTCTCTTTTCTTCTGCTCCCTCATCAATTGACGGATTCATAAGAGCTTCAAGCTAAAAGTAAAAATGTATTAAGTACATCTACACGTAATTTAATACTTTTCAAACAAACATACATGTATGTACAATGTACATTGTACATGCACTAAATACATTTGTGCATGTATATATCAGAAAAATGCTAAAGGTTAAAGCACAGTATGGTACATGTGGTTATGACGTACATTGTACATTGTAGTACATGTTATAGTATCTTTTATTATAAATCTATAATTCTTCTTTTCTTACTTCGTTCATTGCAGCCATGGCCGAGTCCTTCTCTTCTTTGGTCATGACAGGATCCTCCACTGGCCCATCCGGTATACACAGGCCAGGAAACCTCTTTCTCTTTTGCTTCTCCTCAGGATTTAAAGGTTCCGCCTGATCCTCTCCTCCTCTCTCCTCCTCCCCCTCCTTCAGTTTCTTCTTCTTCCCATCTATCAATATTACTCAATTCATATTGTATAATCATAAGGGGGCATGCGACTAAATTCAAGAGGGCATCGCACCCCGGCCCCTTGCCCCCCAAAAGAAATGTACATGATATCACAGAATTATATCATTTTATACAAAGTACATGTGGTACCTGGTTTTGGTGGTCTCATAGTTTGGATGATACGTAGCAAGTTGGAGACAAAACTTTCCTATAAATTAACAAAGAAAATACATGTACTGTACATGGAAAAGAATCCATTACCGAGAATTCAGCTCCATTTTTTAAAAGCGCTTTCTTAAACTTTGGCAAAGTGCTGTGCTTGTCGGCCAAATTAATGATGAATTCAGCTAAAAGTAACAAATAATGTAAATATTGATATCATTTTACTCACTTTTTCTACTTACCTAAGTCTTTGTCATTGAGGCCAAGATGGTTGTCAAGTTCTGTACACACTTTAGAGACCAGAGACAAATACTCCAGCCGATCCAGTTCCTCTGACATTGTCAAAAACAGTGAGCAAGTATGCAGTGCTAATGTCAAACACAAAGCAAGTTATGAAGGGGTTAAAATAAGCTCACTAATGAAGCACGTGTTTAACGTAAACGGAATCGAGTCTTCTCCGAATATTCTACGTATACTTCAAACACGTGGTATCAAGATGGCGATTTCTTTAGAATATTGCTCTGTTAGCTGCAACAGGACGCCACACGCCATTAACTGGGAGCCATCGGGAGATAGACTAGCCTTTGCTACCGATAAATCCATAGCAATAGCTGAAACTATACAGGTAGGCTGATACTTGATCACGTGAGCTTTAACCCCACCCACCCCCATAGGGAGGGACATTGTATGTTAAGCATACACTACATGGTCACAATGAGAAGGTGAATTGTGTACGGTGGGTAGCAGGCAGAGGTGGGCGTGTTGATACGATCACTCGTGAGTTAATATCAGGATCAGTGGATAAGACAATCAGAGTTTGGAGGGAGAGCAATAACGAGGTGAAGTATCAATTAATTATCTATTATAGCCACACCTCTTTTAATTAATTAATTAAGTTTTATTGTTTTACAGTTAAAAATTTTCCTTTAAAAATTATGTATTTTTGTTAATATTTTATCTTGTTCATAGTTTGAATGTATTGATGTCCTAACGTCACACACTGATGCAGTGACATGTCTAACTGTTGATCGGACTCATAAAGGAGTGTGGGTTTTTTCAACCGGCTCTGACTCCAACGTAATGGTCTGGCTACGATCTCGTGACGAAGGTTTTGTTCTATGATCAATGATCATGTGACTTGCATGTGATTTTATTTAGATAAGTTTTCACTCTGTCAAACTATTTCATTTGGTCGTGGGTTTGTTTTTTCTCTGGACTCTTACCAGCTGCCCGGGGCCAGTACCAGTATGTAAACATTCATTACTTTATCTCCACAATGTCTCCTCTTCTCAGATCTACTGCTAGCTTGTGGAGGAGACGATGGAAAGATTAGCTGCTTTGCTCAAGAAAATGACAAAGTATTCTTTACTTATAATTTTAAAATTTTTTCTCCTTTACTGTTCCCCTTCATTCTCCTTCATTCTTTCTCTTTTAGTTTATTAAAGTTATTACACTCTCAGGTCATACTGACTGGATAAGAGATGTCTCCATCACAGAAGATGGTCAGTAGTGCTATTATATTATTATTTTCCAGGAATTAAACATTTAATTTCAGCTAGTGACGTATTGATAGCTTCCTCATCTCAAGACACGTACATTAGACTATGGAGACTGAAAGAAGAAGATCATGAGACTCAGTCAGGCAATGGAGAGAAACTCTCTCTTAAAGGAAACAAGTTTAAAATACACATGGACAGCAGCTGCAAGAGCTCTACCGATGGGAACACTACTAGTACTGAGTCTAGTTCTGGTAGAGTTGGCTGTTATTCCGTGACACTGGAAGCTGTTCTGTGTGGCCATGATGACTGGGTGTACTCCTGTCGCTGGTCTCCAGCTGCATATCCCAGTGAACCGCTCTCACTATTATCGGCATCAATGGATAAAACAATGATACTCTGGAGGGTGTGTCCAGATAGTGGGGTGTGGCTTGAGCAGGTTAGTTTATTGTTATTATTTTTTTTAATTATTTTTATTAGGTGAGATTAGGTGATGTGGGTGGTAATTCATTGGGTCTCTACGGGGGAATATTTGGCAAGGGGTCTGATACAGTCCTGGCTCACGGCTACCAAGGCTCACTGCATCTCTGGAGGAGAGTCCAATCAAGAGATGGCGGGACAACTGAGCTATGGCAGCCACTGGCTTCTCCTAGTGGCCACTTTGGATCAGTCGAAGTACCTTTTAATTTATTTTTATAAATTTTGTGTTATTTTGTTTTCTTGTTAAGGATTGCTGCTGGGACCCTGAGGGTAGGTACCTTTTATCTGTTGGAAGTGATCAAAGCACTCGTCTCCATGCCCCCTGGAGGAGGGGGAGGAGAGAGGATAAAGATGAAGTCTCCAGTTGGCATGAGTTGGCTAGGCCTCAGATTCATGGCTACGATATGACCTGTATAACTTCTCTATCTCCGCTATTGATTGCTACTGGGGCTGATGAAAAGGTCCTCATATAATATGTACATGTACATTGAGTCATTGGTTGCTTTATATGATTATTTTTACATGCAGTAATGTCCATCATTGTTCTATAATAGTGTATTGATTATTGTTATTGTCAAACTTTCACTTTTAGCATAGGATAGGGCCAATATAATTGCTCATAACTTGATAATTTGAGCTCAGAATCAGCTCAAACTTTCTACAGAGCATAAGGACATCAATATGTATCAGAAAATATGATAAAAATTGGGGGTGATTTTGGAGCCATTTTTCGGAAAAAAACCATGGGCTATAGTACAGGGTCACAGGCCAAATTTCACCAAAATTGAAAAGTAGAGAATTCTTCATTTTAATAATTTTTCTGATACATATACATGTTCTTATGTTGTGTAGAAAGTTTGAGCTGATTCCAATCATGTTTGGATTTTTTATGAATTTTTAAAGGTGCTTCAAAATCGGGCTAAAGTCCCTGTGCTATATAATAGTACAGGGACTTTTGTAGAAAGTTTGAGCTGATTTTATTATGGTTATTTTAGAAATTAATACACAAAGTAAATGCAATTCTGTAGCCTATAATCCTACCTGCTGTTTCTATTTTAAAGGTTTTGCGTGTTTTTGCTGCTCCCCGGAACTTCATAGATAACCTCTCTCGTGTGTCTGGTGTCACAGTGAAGGACAGTGGGACGAGGGTAGGAGGGGACGTACCCCTGGGGGCTAGTATCCCTGCACTTGGTCTCTCCAACAAAGCTGTATTTACAAGTATTAGCGGCCCCAATGTAACATGAAATATTAATTTTCTCTTTTTTATTTCACAGCTGCTAGTTATGATAAAAATGAAACTGATTTGGCATCAGCTAAGAACAGCTTCTCTAGCGAAGTTCCTGTCTTCTCCGATATTGAGCTGTCAGGTACTCAATAACAAGATGACGCTATCAAGAAATACTCCTGATAAAACATAATTATATATACTAGTATACTCTAGAGCACACACATTATACCATGTATAGCCTGATTGATGAGTAGATATACAGTACATGTACGTGGAAGGATTCATTTACTATACTAAATGTGGTTTCTTGTTTTGTAGTTTTAATTTATTATCATCACATTGATCTATTGCTTGTAGTATGTACTGATAATAAATTAATGATCTACTTACTGTGTATTTTACATTAATAATAATTATTTTATTTGCTGTTTAGGTCCTCCAATTGAAGAACATTTACTACAAAACACTCTTTGGCCTGAGACACAAAAATTGTGAGTAATAGAATTCATTACAAAGAGACTGTTATTTTGATCATATTACAGGTATGGACATAGTTATGAGCTTTACTCTATTGCCAGTAATGGTAGATACATTGCTTCAGCTTGTAAGGTAATACAGAGAGAGAGGGGGAGGGAGGAAAAGAAAGGGAGAAGGAAATGAGAGGGAGGGAGAGCAAAAAAAGAATATAATGAAAGAGGTAGAAAGGATACATTAGTAAAATAATAATAATTATTATTATTATAATGATAATGTAATTTCTTTCCTAAAGGCCAGTCAGGCTGAGTATGCCTCAATTCGAATATGGGATTCCTTATCCTGGATGCAAGTGGCTCTTCTAACGAAGCACTCACTAACAGTGACTCAGTTGTCTTTCTCTCATTCAGGGAATAGACTATTGGCAGTCTCACGTGATAGACTGTGGAGTCTATGGCAGTTTGACACATTATCAGATGGCAAGTGTCACTATTAAATTTATTGGCCTAGCCATGCTTTGTGTTACAAGGACTAGGGTACTGTCTGTCATTCATTCTGCTTGTTATCTTTTATCTTTGAGATTGTGTGCTCAAGTTTTCTTTTTAGTTAGAAAAAAATTGATATTACTGCTGCTGCTTTTAGCTGCAGGAGAGAGAGCAAGAACCTTTTCACTTTATTCTTTTATCTTTTAATTTTTAAATAAAAAAGGGTGTGTATATGAGGCTCTTCTTTTTATGTATTCTGATTATAAAAAAAGAAAAAAAAGAAAAAAAATTGGCGTGTGTGTATGTGTGTGTATGAGGCTCTGTATGTATATGTTACTATTTAAGTACATGTAAAGGCTCTGTATGTATATTACTAGTAAGTATGAGGCTTCATGTATGTATCACAATTGCATGATAAGCTCTACAGATCTATACAGTACCAATGGCACTCCCCCATGGACTACCAGTACTCATAGCGTGCACTCTATGAGGAATGGTAGCCAATGGAAGAGTGTCACCAGCACTGTACAAACCTGTAATGTAGTCTGAAGCTGTGT